CCACCTTAACGCTTGCCCCGTTTACCCTTTTCCACAGTATTTCTTCTTTCAATAAAAAGGTTCCAGGAAATGCCTCTTTTACTAGCCACCTGCATGGGAAAGGAGGGGGGGAGGGGACTCAGTTGCGGTCTTTTGAAAACAAATCTCCCTCTTTTTCCTACATTCCAAGGGAGGAGCGTCACTAATGGTCACTCAATGGTCTTGGTAGATCTTCACTTCTCCTTTCTGGTGATTTATGGGTTCGATGCAACAACAAAAAAATGTGTCAAAAGACTTTTTTTTTTTTTTTTTTTTAAGGAAAGGGGATGATGGAGAGATGTTTGTTTATTTTGATTGTTAAAAAGTGTCCGGGAAATCGACCCTTCCGGGAAAGGGACGTCCGGATATGGGACGTTACACTGTATAAGAATTATAATTCTTATAATTATTCTTATACTAATTAATATTATTTCTTCTAAGAACTTGTGCTGTCTTGATTGTTTCGACATTTTTCTGGGTAAAAACTGACAATTAGTTAGAAATGAAGTAGAGCTATCAAAATAAAATGTAAGCTACTTGCCAAAACATTTAGTTTTTGTCACTTCTTCTGACACAAAAATGCCAGTCTAAAATTTTAGGTACTTTCTTGAAATTTGAATTTTCAGTTATTCTGATTGCACTAACTACGCAACAGTCTTTTTGCAGAAATGTGCAACTAATTGAATGCAATACGTTGAACATGCATTACATCGTAACTTCTGATCTGATAACCTTGTAAAGCAATAAATTTTTCTCCCGGTCAAATGACCAGGTGTGGTAGAAATAGGTATACGACAAGTATTATTCGAAACCAACAAAATACAAAAAAGAATATTAATTGTTAGAAAAAGTCATGAAGTCAAATGTGCAGAAACAATAAGATGATAAGTACATTTTCAATGTAAAAGTTCTTAAACGGTCATTCGACCGATTATGGTATGTTTAGTGTTAAGAATGTTTAACAATGCTTAAAAAGTAGGAGAAAGACTCCTAATGTGAGACTACTTTTTTTTAAATTATGGTTAGATCGAAATAAAAATTATGGTTAGAACGAATGTTTATTATTATTATATCTAATACACAGTGCGCAAAAAGTAAACAGATCAGCTTGAATAACTTTTGATCTAATGATCGTATATTCACGTTCTGGGACTCAATCTTAATGGTTCGAGAGGGTGACTTCAAATATGCTATTTAGTTAGTACACTATTTTAAGTTACAAAATCAGGCGCAAAAATGCTCTAAATAAACATAGCGTCTTTTCAACCGAATATAGAATGCAATTTGAGAAATAGGGTTCCAATAATTTGTTTAGGAAAACAGCCCAAATTTTGGATCCGTTAATATCAATTTTATTTTTTTGATTATTGTGACTAATATTGAAAAAAAAATTTGAATTTTGCACGCAATAATAAAACTCGTTTATCCAAAAGATAATGCCTTTCAAAAAATGAGGGAACATTCGCAACTGAAGTACTTAAAATTGCAAAAAATTTCAAACAAATCAATATTTAAATAAAACTGTGGAGAATAGTAACTCTGCTTTTGAAAAAAATAAAATAAAGATGAAGAAAGGGAAAATAATAATTAAAATATCATAGGGGATTGGGTAGACAATTTTACAAATTTGGCAAAAAACTGTCTTAAATATAATTTTTAACTCATAAAGTCATTTTTTTTTACCAATAAATTAAACAATTACCTGAATTCTAGCAGTATAATAACTAACAGGGTTGTCACTCCACGGGGAAAACCTGGAAAATACAGAAAATGTAAAAATCACCTAATATAACAGGGAATTTTGAGTTTTTCTTTACAAACTGGGAAAATTCCGGGAATTTTATTTCTTTTTTTTGTCTTTTAAAAAATAGTGATCACTCAAAGCGCAATCTATGGAATGTTTAAGGATGATATTTCAGATATACTCAGGGGTCTATTTAGAAAAATTTGGGTCTGTTAACAGACCCTTCACAAAATATTTTAACTTAAAAACGGACCCTTCGCAAAATATTTTGACTTAAAAACAGACCCTTCGCAAAATATTTTAACTTAAAAACAGACCCTTCACAAAATAATTTATCTTTTAATCGGACCCTTCACAAGAGACACTCGATAGACATTTGCGTATTATTGTAAATGAGCGGGAAAAATTGACTGATGCTGAGTGTTCAGCTGTTTTAGATATTTTCAAATCTACTGGCAATCAACGTATATCGCTCTAACATTTTGTTAATCATGTTTTTCTGCTTTAATTCTAAGACTAAGTCTGATCTCATTTCATTTATATTATGTACCTTAACCTCATCAAAGTCAAAAAAAATTTTTAAATTCCAAATGTAGTATTCTAAGAAAATATTTCTACTTATACAAACATCGTGTGTACATTCTTATTGATATTAAAGGATATTTTTTTTGTAAATAAATAATTGAGCAATATATTTATAAAATTTATTGATAAAATATTATGTAACTAAAAATTAACTTATGTCAATTTTTTAAATAAAATATTATAAATTTAAGAATTGTTTAAGTTTACTTAAAATATGTCAATTGAAATTATTAAAAATGTGAGAGATTTTGTTTTCTTTATTCTTCCGAAATTAATATTCTGCGTTCAGCAGTATAGGCTAAATACCAAATATTTGCATGTTGCATCTCTAATTTAGTAGCAGCAATAGCTGTTTATTTTTGAAAATTTAATTTTTTTTAAATTATATTTTCACAGTGTTGAGCATAATCTTGTATCCATTTAATATTTAAAAGCTCATTGAAAAGGTTTCTTGCAATAACAGGACCCTATTTGCACAAATTCACAAAACAGGACCCTGGTTGAAAGAATTTGACTTGACACTTATTTTATATTCCCAAATTACGAGTAATTTTTTCACAATTTTACAAAAACAGGACCTTTTACAAAAATGTCTGGACTGACCCCTGATACTAAACTATTTCATTTACTATAGAATTATTTGTTTTAAGTATGTTCAGCTGTGCCTTTTTCTCTAAGTTCAAATTAGTTAGCAGTTAAAATTAGTATAGTTAGCCCAATGTACCTCACACAAGACCGCAATAAATGTATGTATCTTCTTACTATATTGTGTAGAATATGTACTGGGAAAACACAGGGAATTTTTTTTTTCTTTCTAGATTAGAGTGCCAACCCAGACTAAGTTGTTTTGTTTTTCCATAGTAATTTTTTTTAAAAATGCTGTTAAGCTATATGGCTAGTGTGGACAACTTATTAAATAGTCATTCATTACAATTCAGAAAGCAAAAATGTAAAAAGCAAAAAAATTTCAATATTTATCAGAGAATAAATATTGACATATTTTAATTAAATATTAATTTGTAATCGAACCTTTCACTGTACTAAAAAAATCATTTTTAAAGCAAATTAATGCATTAGAATATCATTGTGTTAAATTTTTAAGCACAGAACCAATTTTTAGTTTATTCCATTTTAATAGCCGTTGATTTAACTTGATGAAATAGTACAAATGAAGAGCTTGGCTTGCAGGGTATCCGCACGCCTGGAAAGTCATGAATTTCGGTGTTGAACAAATTTTGTCATGAAATGTCATGATTTAAATTATTTTCTTAAAAAGTCATGGAAAGTTATGCATTTAGGTAACAAAAAAATCTAATTTATAAAATGGAAATCCCCTCCCCAATTTCATGGTGTTCTGAATATCTGGATTTGTAACTAAGTCCGCACTCACAGTCTTATTTCATTAAAATCTAAAATGTTTTTATCATGTTTTTTAAAAATTATGGGGTTCTTTCAAAAAAGGAAAGAAAAAACATCATTTCTTGAGTAAATTACAGAATTTTTAATATAATTTTTTTATTTTATCAATTTAAAATTCTAGCTGAAGCAAGCCAGTCGTTGGCGAATTTTTTTTTATTCTGAAATGAGAACAGAAAAGTTAGGAGTATGTCTTTCTTTTCCGATAAACAAGAAAAGTATCTTTAAAATATAATTCTGCAGAAAAAAAAGGAAAAAAAAATTATTTGCTTTTTTATTTTTTTCAGCTTTTTTATTGCTTCAACTCTTTCGTTACTCTGTTTTTTAAATTTCAAGTCTTTAAATATGAAGATGCAGAGTATAACAGTTTTGGTTATACCTGTCATTTCAATTAATGCTTTTGTAAATTTCTTGTTGTGTTTTTGTTGGAGAAAATAGTAACTTCGTTACGTCATGAAAAATTCTTGGAATTAGTAATGAAAAGTCATGGATTTGAAATCTAAAATGTAGCAAATACCCAGGGCTTAGCAATATTTCACCCTCACTGGTGCAACAAATACAACTTGTTAAACAGTATTCTCTGATATTCTGTTTTAGTTTAATGTATGGCAAAAATTCCTCTTTAATTCATCTTTATTGAACTCTTTAACACAATTGATAAACATTGATAATTAAAATTTTTTTAAAACCTTCAAAAATTGAAAGGTTTTGTGCTAGATTTTTTGCTTGTTATTCAGGGCTGATTGTGCTCTGGAAAAATTCCGGATTTTTCGCTAACCGTGATCCAGAAGTTTCCGGAGATCGAAGGTTCAAACGTTTCAAAAAATCATTGATCACAGAAGTTTCCGGAAATCAAATTTTCAAAGGTGGAACTTAAAAATACAGTATATTTTATTTGTTTGTAAGGGAGAGGCAGATACTTTATAAGCTTATATTCAAGATTAATATTCATTTTTTATCAGTAAATAATTATTATAATCATAAACTCAAGAAAGACATATTTGTAAATTTCAATTACTTCTCCAGGTCATCATAGGTATGTGTAAAATTTTAAATATATTTTAAATAAACTAATAAATATTGAGAAAAGAAAGACACCTTGTTTAAATTTTTTTCAAATTTTTCGATTTAAACTTAACTTTTTTTACTCAAGAAATTTTCCGGAATTTTGACTTGAGCTCACAATCGCCCCCGATAAACACTAATTGTAAAGGTTATATTGTTCTACAGGTTATATTGTTTTAATTCTGAAAATATATCTCTTAACTTGTTTTCAAACCTTGTTGTAGGATTCTGAGTATTATAATTCACTGTTATGGATTATGGAAAATGATCCTGCTGACTTGGACTTAAGGTTTTCCATAGACGAAGACTTGTTTGGGCAGATGCAGCAGAGAGATTTGAAACCAAATGGTAGTGAAATCCCAGTGACTCAGGAGAACAAAATGGAATACATCAAGTAAAATTCTTCTTCTTCAGTTAATACAATTTTTTCAAATATTAAATTCATTCATAAAATTTAATTAATTAATTTTAGTGTTTTTTATATGTAAGAAAAAATTTAAATTTTTTAATAAAAAAAAAGTCAGAGATTGTGGCAAAGGGGTTAGGATACTTCCTTCTGATTATAAAAATAGTTTTTTTTTTTTTTTTTTTTTTTTTTTTTTTTTTTTTTTTTTTTTTTTCTTCTTCTTCTAGTCCTTGGGCCAAATCAATTTATTGTTCAGGTTTGTTCCGATACTTTTGAGGGTTTTTTTTTCTCTTGACATAATGATTCTGAATGGTTTAGTAATTTAAACTTTATAAAATTCTCAAGAAATTAGTTGCTTATAATTTAAAACAATATATTTTATATTGCATTTTTTTTCTGAAAGTTTTTGCGCTACCTTCCAATAAAATCAATGAATTATTTTCTTCAGCATTGCTAGCGCACACATTTTCTTACAATTGCTAATAGCAGTGTTTGTCGACAAATCATTACAATTGTTGCATTTGTTCTAATTTTCTCCTTCCAATAAAATCAATGAATTATTTTCTTCAGCATTGCTTGCGCACACATTTTCTAACAATTGCTAATAGCAGTGTTTGTCGACAAATCATTACAATTGTTGCATTTGTTCTAATTTTCTCCTTCCAATAAAATCAATGAATTATTTTTTTCAGCATTGCTAACGCACACATTTTCTTACAATTGCTAATAGCAGTGTTTCTCGACAAATCATTACAATTGTTGCATTTGTTCTAATTTTCTCAATTTCATTTTAACCTGTTGTAACATATTTTAATCTTAAAAAAAGGTTCTTTTACCTAGCCAACTATATGTTAACATTCAATTTTACTGTTTTGTTGGTAAATATTAGATTTTTGATTTAAAATATGAATTGCATAATAATTACAATATCGAAAGTTGGTGAATCTTGCTTGCATTTCAGATATGATACTTCTGAAACTGTTTCTCCTTTTACCCTAAAAAGCTGGCAAAGTTTAAGGAATGCATAAGAAACATGTTAAATGATGTATACACATAAAATATTGAAGAAATGTTTATAAAACAATTAACTAATCTGAACAAAAAACCATGTGGTTAAATTGAAGTTTTTTAAATATTTCAATTTCAAATAAAAAAAAATTTAAAGAATGGTATCTAGTTTTTTTCTATAATGTATACAACAAGAAATTTGACTATTTTTGTATACTGAATATCTTTCATTTTTGTTTGCTAAATATCTTTCATTTTTGTATACTGAATATCTTAAAGTAATAATGCTAATTCAAAACAAACAGCGTTATTTAAACATTTGACTTGAAATATTGGTTTAGAGAAACTATGATGAAAAAATGAATTTTATAAAGAGCACTGTTTAGATAAAATACAGTATAAAATGGCTTTATATTGAATTGTATATACAGTGATTCACAAAATGCTCTATCCATTAATTTCAATGAATGTTTCAAAATGGATATTTAATAATAAGAAATATATTTTATTCTATATCTATATTTATATTTATTTTTATTCTATATTTATATATTTAGAAATATATTTATACAACAATGGAGTAACTTTAACGCATTCCATACTTCCATTTTTTCTCAACTTACCTTTCATTTTTTATGGATAGTCATTCCATGATTCAACTAAGAAAAAAAATGCAATCTATATCTAAAAAAAATAATAATTCTTAGCAAATTCTTTATCACAATAAGAAAAAGTTCTTTTCTTCTTCTTTTAGTCCATTAAGTGGTCTCCCATTTTAGAAATTTCTGATTATGATTTTTTTTTCACCTTAAATAATCAATATTTATTTACATATTTATTATTTATTTAATAAAGATAATTATATTATTATTTAATCAATATTTATTACTGTATACAGTGAATTCCTGAGGACGGAAGCAATCGCTACGCAATAACGAAAATTCGTTATACTGATATCAAAAGCTTCAAAATTAACCAAACTTATTTTGTTGCATTGGAATTTTTTGCATATAAAATAATCAATATTTGCATTTAATTACAGTTATGATCTATTTGTGCTCTACATCTAAAAAATATCAAATCAATATTTTAAAAGCTCACAAAAACAAGTAAATTAAAAGGAACAATTTATTATCACTTACTTATCAGAAATTGCTTAATCCGTAATTTTTATCTGTACAAATGATTTAGAACCAGTAGAAATTACGCATTTTTTCAAACAACTGAACTGGAAATCACTATTTTTGGAAAGCCGTATGTATTTTTACTTCTTCAAACATTAATGGGTTGGGGTTCAGTCTTTTCAGGGCGGTCCCTTCCATGTGATTCATCTTTTTTATGTGTCCCTTTCATGCCTGAAACTTTTTATTTTGAAGATGCAAAAATATTTGAATTTTGAGATCATTGTGTTTTTTTTTTTTTTTTTTTTTTTTTTTTTTTTTTTGAGGAATGGATCATGAGAGAAAATGAGATTTGTTGCTTATTGAATATAGAATATAACATGATCATAGGCTTTGTTGATTTTTGTTTATATATATATATTTTTTACACAAAAATGTTAAATGTTTTTTTTATTTCATAAAATTTTTATCTTGATTTACCAGTATTTTTGAAAGTAACGGAGACATTTCCCATTTCGAGATTTTCAAGAAAGATTTTTGAAAAATTTTATCTACATCCATGTAACTAAGTGCACATAAGATCTTAAGACATATTCTTAGTTATTCGGAGCATTTTATATAGTGGGATTTAATGAGTTCAAAAAAAAAAAAAAATTTCTATCAGCCTGTTTTTAGCACAAAATAAAAGTAGTCAAGTCTTTCAAATATTTATTGCGATATTGAAATAATTTTACATTGCTGAAGATTTAAAATTATTTTTTATTCAACTAATAATTTTCATAAAAAGTTATTGTTATATACAGTAGGGAACCGATTATCCGGAACGATCGGGACCATCCCTATTCCGGATAACTNCAAGGTTAACCGACAAAAAGAATTTAGTGTTATATAAACAATGATGTTTATATAACAATCACCACCAACAATTGCTTTCAATATGTCGGTCTAAACACTTTGGCATGCGGCCCTTCATTGGTCAATCTGTTGTGCATGTGGCCCTTCACTGAAAAAGGTTGTGCACCCCTATTATATACTATATAAAATATTTAAACACAATAAAAAAAGCCCATTTTGTCAAAATAATGTAATCATTTAATATTAAGACAAAAATTTGAATTTTTATTTTTACTAATAAAAAGTTTCAATTTCTTTTATTAAACTTACATTTATCCTACATTATATTTATCTAGACTTAATTTTGATTTCTTCAATTTTCATTTTTGCATCAAAACCCTTAATTATTCCTCTGATTAAAGATGGACTTTTTAATGATGGGATTGTAAATTACTGCTCCAAAAATATGCATTTTTTACTTTTAAGGCTGTTGAAATTGTATTTCTGAAACATCCTATCACATCATTTGGTTACATAAATTTAACACTTAAAATATGACCCCTATTTTATCTGTGAGGAAAAAGGTTAAGTAACTAGTAAGGTATTTGTTACTAAAAAAATAAGTTAAAAATATTATGACAGAAGCTCAGATATTTATCTCCTTTTCATTTTTGTTTTGTTATTGAATTCAGTTACTCTTTTGGGAAATTTTTTTTCCCTTCAGATTTTGGAGCTTAGTAGGATATTTTTAGTATCGGTTATTTTTTTTATATAAAATATTTATATAAAATATTTTAATATTTTTTCCTTATTATTCTATAACTCTTAATATATCCTTGCAAGTTTGTTTTTCCCTGTGCTACATTTTACATTGATTTTAATTTTGATGAATGTTGAATCTTAATCATAATTTTGATTAATATACATGTCTATTTTGGAGTCATCTAAATCAGAGCCGCTATCATATTTCAGGGTGCATTTTTAAAAAGTGCTTTAAGGTGCTTATTTTTTATTAATGTTTTTAAAAGCCCTAAAAGTACTCTGTTTTATTCGGAGTTAGTAAGTAAAAGGTGCTTAGTTTTCTATCCTTTAGAAAGATTTTTTTTTTTTTTGCCGTGTCAATTGTCATTCTCAATTACAAAAAAAATGCATGGTTTTCACAATTTTCGCTGCAATATTCATCAGAAAGTAGTTATTTTATCATGATTATGTAAAGTTTTTCAAAATGATTTTGAATTTTATTGATTTTGAAAATGATTTTGAATTTTATTGATAAATTAAGAACTTTAAACCATAAGAAAAATCTTTTTTTATCGCTGCGCCGATCCTTATTATGATTTTTTTTTTCAAAAGTGGTTAAAAATATTTTTTGAGTACTTGACCACTACCCTGGTTATCCCGAGAAAACTCGGGCAAAGCAGAATTTGTCAGTATGTTTTGTTTCGTCAAGTTTTTACTCGGCCGAAAGTGAACAATAAAAAAATATTAATAATAATAATTTGCTGTGATCGGAAGTTTGCCAAGTGTTGTTTGGGAGTTTCGCTATAGCATTGTGGGACTACTGCACATGTATTTTGTGTGATTGTATGTACAATGATTGCTGAGTTTACATAGGAAAAAAAGATAGTTAAAAAAATAGCGGATCACTTCACCGGTACAGTCGAACCTCGCTAACTCGAACCTCAATTTCACGAATTTTTCGATATCTCGAAGAAGAAAAAATTCCCTTCAAATTCCCTATACACTCCATGTTTAAAAAAAATTTGATTTCACTAATTTTTTTTCTAATCCCTCGATAACTTTAATTTTTTTTCTCCTTAAATAGTGTAAATATTTTTTCTGGAAATAAAAAACTATTCCAAAAAAAATTTAAGAATAGAAAACCAATTCTCATAATGATAAACTTTTTTAAAAAAATGGACAAAAAGACGTCAGTGGCATGGAATGATGTGTCTCTCTCTATGATAAAGAATGGCTTCAAGAAGGCTGGATTCATTAAAGATCACGAAAGTAGTCAAACAATCAATATCGTTAATTCTGCTGAAAACTACACCGAAAATGATCGGGACAAATTGACCGGACTCATGAAACTTGATGACATGGAATTTCATGACTTTGTAAACGTAGATGATGCATGTCAGTGGGATGACAATGGTATCATCGCTCAAACGAAAGCTTCTTGTGAACTATCAGAAGAAGAGGATGAGGAAATCGAAGATTTACCACCCAATGTTACTAACAAACAAGCACTTTCTGCAGTGGACACTGTAAGGAGATTTATTGAGAGGCAGCTGAATAAGTCAGAGGAGACATTTAAAGCTATAGTCCACTTAACAAAGTGTTACAGACAAACTTCCTTACACATCACTAAAGCAAACGACAATTGAATATTTTTTTTAAAATGAAAGTGTAAAAAGTGTTTTTAGAATAAATATGGAATAGTAAATAAGGTATGTAAAGAGCATTTTTCTTTATTCTTCTATCGATAACGTGCGATTTTCGATATCTCAAATTTTTTCTTCTCTCCCTTCAAGTTCGAGATATCGAGGTTTGACTGTATTTGGAAACTATCATCTTTGTGTTGTCCCTTGTTTTAAAAACTATCATATAAAGACTAATATTTAACTTTTTTCGTTTGCCTGAGATAACTCGTGATAGTAAACTGGTGGTAAATTAAGTGTTTTAGTTCCTTGTATTTATTAATAAAATAAAAAAAAATATGTTGGTTTTTTAAATTTTTTTGTTGAAAAATCTTATATATATATTTTTTTTTTCTCCATCCTACAGCTTGGTGATCCAATGGAGGTTTGTGTCGAGGATCGAACAGCAGATGAATTCTTTTCTGGAAGGTTTTGGTGAAGTCGTCCCCATGCATCTCATCAAACTCTTTGATGAGAATGAATTGGAACTCTTGATGTGCGGAATTGGAAAGATAGACGTGAGGGATTGGAAATCCAATACTGTGTATAAAGGCAGCTACCATGCAAACCACATTGTCATACAGTGGTTCTGGAGGGTGAGTTAATCTCTTTAATGCTAAGTGCATACTTCGAGTTATCTGCGACAAAACTCTCTAGCACTAATATCTTTCTACAAGATGCTTTTAATAATAACAAACACATATGCTACTAATATAAAATACAGTAGAGAACCATTTATCCGGTATACAGATAACCAGAAAACCGGGAAAAATTTTGATCAGTTTTCCCGCCATTTTAAACTAGAACGATTATGAAAAAAAGCGGAAATGAACTCATCCTTGAAGTTGAGTATAGGAAAATGTAAGGAAGGGGAGAATTTTTGCCCCCGTTTATCCAGAGAAACGTCATTTCCTCCGTGACCTTGAAGGCAGGACAGGGAGGAATGTTTTATTTTCTCCTTTAGGCCATCAATCAAGCTCAAGGGTGTGGCATGCTGATATCATTTTCTGTTTAATTTACGAGAGGGGGGAATGCATTGCATGCATATCAGTAAACAGAAGCTGAAAGAGAAAAATATATTTATCTATTTGACATCGATTAATAAAAATAAAATCTTTTTCTTCTGAATAAATTCAAGTGCGGTATCATTTGCAAGTTTTTATTGATGTGGAATCACATCTGCTGTAATTAAATATCGTGTTTTTATCAACAAAAAAAAAATAAATAAAAGGAGAATAGTTTTTTAATTTAAACATAGGATTATTTTATGAAGCAGATTGCAGTTTTGTTTTTCTGATTCCACTACGTTTGATTTTTTTTTTCTTTTCACGATAAATTTCGCACTCAATAAATTAATTCTTTTTATTCATAAATTTTATCATTAGGTTTTTTTTTAAAATTCCGTTGATCTTGCCTTGTTCCGGGTTTCAATATTTATGCTAGTGCCTTTTTTAACTATCGTTTCGGTTCGATAATTTTCAAGTGTTTTTATTTAGATTAATAAGTTTTCCTTTTATTTTATCGTTTCCCCCGTATAATTAGGTATGAAATATATTGCGTTATTTAATCATTGGTTTTGTTTATATTATTTAATTTAGGAATTGTAATTATTTTTAAAAAATAAATATGAGAATTTTGTATTTTTTAAACTTGATTTTCTTGTCTAAACTTGCAAATTTTTTTATTCTTTTAAATGTTATATTTCTACCATTTTTTTTTTCTTTTTAAAGTTAGGAGTACCTTTTTTTTTTCTCTTACTTTATGCATTACACTTTTTCCTTTGCAATTCGGGTTCGATAAAACATCGATTAACGATACTTTTTGGTCGATCCAGAAAACCGGGAAATTCAGACATCCGGGATAGCGATGGTCCCGAGCATCCCGGATAATTGGTTCTCTACTGTATCTAAATCGCTGTGTTTACAAAAAAAAAAAATTATAATAAATTTTGTAATTAAAAAACAGGGTTCGTACAGACTCCTTAGAAACTCTTTGGAAATAAAAAGGTCTCCAAGGAACACTTGTAACTACTTAGATTTCCAAATTAGTCCTTAGATTATTGTGTTGCATAGATGAACAGACTAAGTCCGCTGATGAATTTGCTGTCCAAGCAGGGGAACGAAATGATATGACTTAGCTGTCAAAATCTAATAGTTTAAGAAGAAAACTTCAAAAGAAAAGAAAAAATTAAGTTGCAAGAGTTAGAAGAAAAAAATAACAGCAAATAGTTTTAATTTTACATGTTACAAGCAAACTTAATAATTTACTGTGATTTTTTTTTTTTGAATGCCTTAGATTTTTTTTTGTGTATTCAAATTTAAAAAAATAAGATTGGTAGGTTTTTATGTTAATCTTTAACATCTGTACTTTAACAAGATTTATTAAAATATTTGAAACTGGAAAATATATTTATGTGTCAAAGTGATACCTTTATTTTTCTTGATGAAGTTCAGCAAAATCAAAATGTATTTCAAAAGGGCTAAAAAAAATATACCTTATGCAAAATATACATTTTTGCAAGTTCTTTATTATAACAGCTTTTTAATTTTAAAAAAAAAACTGTCTAGTTTTCATTTCTTTTGCACAAAGTTTTCAAATTTTGAACTCCTTGGATTTCTTCTTCTGATCTCTGTATGAACACTGTTAAAAAAATAATTAAACTTGTCATGATTTTTTTATTCTAATATTATGGGTGATATTCTCACATTTTTTTTGGGGGGGGGAACGCATAAAGTATTTCCTTCTTTGCATTTTGTACATAATCATCACAATAAAAAATATAATTAAAAAACAAGAAATCCGTTGTAGTATTCACTGAAAAAAAGTATGACGACAAAACGGATTTCTCAAGCGCATGTTTCGTTTGGGGATTAGGTTGTTGTAATGATTAATATTGTATAAAAAAATAGTGGATTTTAAAACTATAGAGAAATCAATAGCAATAAAAATACGACCAAAACATTACATCGATTTACAATACTATCATCATAAATTGAGCATGTCAAAAAGTGTTTTCAAAAAATGCTTCATTTTCCCTTTTCGAAATATTTTATAGTATCGTAAATCGATGTAACGTTTTCGGCAGTTTAATTGATTTTCACGTGGATTTTAAATATCCCCATATATTTCAAACAATATAGAAAATTCGAATCGGGCATTTGAGAATTTACTTTTTAAAGCAATAATTCTATCGAATTTTTGGCAGTTATTGTCATTAATTTCTTCATAGTTTTTAAATCCGATATTTTTTATACAATATTATTTACAACAACAACCTAATCTCAAAATGAAACACGCATTTGAGGAGTCCGATTCGCGTGATTTCGTCATAGATCTTTTTTTTTTCGGCAATTATTACTACGGATTCCAAGATTTTTAATTATTTTTATTGTGATGATTATTTACTAAATGCGAAGAAGGAAATAATTTGTGCTTCCCCCCCCCACCAAAATGGGGGAATATTACCCATAATATTAGAATAAAAAATTATGACATGTTCAACTAAAAAATATAAATTTTCTTCTTATTTTTTTTGTAAACACAGCGTATTTGTTATTTTAAATTAGTAACATACATGGTTGTTATTATTAAAAGCATCCAGCAGAAAGACATTAGAGAGTTTTGTTGCAGATATATCGAAAAAATTTTGCCACAGGGGATGAGGGTTGACATTGTTGACAACTACTTACTATCCCCACAAGCTTTTAATCCATTGCAATTTTTCTTTAAAGATGGTGATGTCGTTCTCAAACGAAATGAGGGCCAGGCTGTTACAGTTTGTGACTGGTACATCTCGTGTACCCATGAATGGCTTCAAGGAGTTGTACGGCAGTAATGGGCCACAATTATTCACCATTGAAAAGTGGGGAACAACTGGTGACTTGCCAAGATCACACACCTGGTATGTAACACTTTTCACCCCAGTTTTTGTAACTATATATTTTAAGCATGTAAAAATTGTTTCTACAGTATCCAAAATTAAAAGGAATGTCTTAAAATCTTGATAATTTTATATTTAATTAGTATGAACATTCAAATAAAAGAAATTTAATTTATTTGTGTGGGCAAAATTATAAGTTAAAAAATTAGCCACAAGGTATAAATTTTTTTTAGGAGACATCTAAATTTTTCTCTGTCCTTTTTTGTATTCTTGATCCTCGAAACAGAAGGGAAGAGGTAACCTGAATACAAAAAATATGATAATTTAGTCAGGAAGCAACCATAAATTTAAAACCTCTCATTCTAATTTTGCATTTTGCCAGGCCTCAAAAACTATTTAAGCAAAGCAAAAAAAAAATGTTTTGTGCGAAAATTTATTTCCTCTAAGATAATTTCATGCAGTATTCATTTTGAACTGTGTTATTTTTAATGGCAAAATAATAAATTTGAGTAAAATCAGTTAATTAGTTTCTAAAAAATGAAAATTAAAAAAAAAAAGTCATAATTTTGAAATTATTATTTCTCATTATTTCAGGATCGCTAACTCCATCCAATCATTTGCATCTAAAATTTCAACACATTTCTTCAAAGTACTACTTTTTGGCATGTGACGTGAAAAAAAATAAGGCATCATTTTTATAATATAAGGAGGGGGGGAAAGAAATAATTGAAAACAAAAGGAAAATGTCCAGATTTTAAAATGATCATTTTTAACATTATAAAACATTATTTATTTCCCCCTTCTTCAAGAGAACATTGCTAACTTTTCATTGCTGTGTTAATTATCAAAGAAGAACATTCTTTTATTCTTTTTTTTTTTTTTTTTTTAATTTNTTTTCTTTTTTTTTTTTTTTTGTCAATTTCTACTACAGTCAGACCTTGCTATAAGGTCACCCGCATATTAGGTCGCCCCGCATATAAGGTCACTTTTCCAAAGTCCCGGCTCACTGAAGAGGAATTCTTTGTTACAGATTATCAGATATATGATCAAGTTTTAAAAATCGTTATCGCTTATAAGGTCATGTTTATCTGAGGCGAGGGAAGCTCTTTTCTAACAAAATCCTATTTAACTTCCTTACAAGGCAATTACCCCACTCGATTTCTAGGAAAATGTTGCAGACAACGAACAAGCTACAATTTTTGAAATTGTTTCACAAGTTGTGGACAGTGAGGACAATGACAGTGATCCTGAAGCTGTAACTGTAACCCAAAAGGAAGCCTTCAATGCAATAAATGTCATACGAAATTTTTTTACAAACCATGGGGAGCTGAGGAACATTTTGAGAAGTTACAAAATCTAGAAAACATTGTTTGAAAAATGAAACCAAATACGAGACAGACCTGCATAAATGATTATTTTAAATAAGGTAAGATGTAATGTATGTATGTACACTTTGAGGAAATTTGTAAACAGCTAAACAGCTTTATTTTAAATTTAAAAAAATTTTACAAATTTAACTTTCTTTAATTCTTTGCTGATTCTGTTAAAATTTATTGACTTAAATATTTAATTTATGGCNTGTTAGCTTGCTTTTTATGGTTATTAATTGTTTTTTTAGCATTAATTGTTAATTTTTTAATTAATAATTGTTTATTATTATTATTATTTTTTTGTAAATTTTAATTTAATTGTTACATATGCTTCATAGTGTAATAACATTTGTGCAATAACAATTCATAGTGTATTAGTAACAATTGTGATCGGTGGCGTGCCCAAAATATTGTGTCTCGTGCCGTAAATGGCACGCATGCCATTGGTTCGCCATCCCTGCTCTATTCTGTTCTAATTTTCAATCACTAATAAAATAATTTTTTATTCATCCACTCAAATTCAAATACATTTCTTTAATTTTGTAACACTTGATGTTAAGACAATTTTTACAAATATTAATTCGTTCATTAAATAGGGATGAAAAATAGAATTTTCTGATTGGTTTAACATTTGTCATTGTTTTAAATTTTACTATAAGCCATTCAGTTTTCAACATCAATGATAATTTTTAATGTGTAGCTCGATTTGATCAAAAAAAATATAGTTTATGGCATACATTTAACTAATTTATATTCGCTGTGTCAGATAAATTCAATAAAGAACATTATGTGGTAGGTCACCCAATTTATACTTTTATATTTGTCTGAAACCATGCTCCTTTTTCTTCTAATTCCTACTATTAGTTCACCCTCTCCCAATATATATCTTGTTCAATCGTTAATAAAATACTTTTTATAAATCCATTCAAGTTCAAATACATTTTCTTAAACTTGTTGCGTATGACACTCAATGTTAATACAGTTCTTTCAGATATTAATTCATTCATTAAATTGAATTCATTGATTTTAGTTTTTTAATGGCAGAAAAATTTGTAATTATTTAATAAAAAGTAGCTAAAGTAAAAAAATTTCTATATTGATCTAAGTAGGAATTGACTTTAAAATTGTTTTTATTTTATATTTCTTGTTTTCTCTTACGTTTAAAAAGTGTTTTGCAAAAAGGACAAAATGCTCCTCTTACTATTGTTCAAATGTTGGCAACCCTACTATTCGACCAATCAATTGAAATTTTTGAATTTTTTTTCAGTAAAAATTACACAATTGTTAAATAGTTTTACAAATTCGTATACCTTACAATTCAAATTTTTTTCCGCAATTATTAAATCAAACAATAAATAATTGTAAATTTGTTTTAGCATGGAACTTTATACTGCATGCAAAAGTGTTCAGGATTGCCACTCCACAGGCAGCAGACATGGAAAACCTGGAAAATACAGGGAATTTAAAAATCACCTGAAATAACAGGGGAAAAACAGGGAATTTTGATTTTTTCTTTACAAACTGGGAAAATTCAGGAAATTTGGTTTCTTATTTTTGTCTTATAAAAAATGATGACCACTCAAAGCATCATGGAATATTCAAGGATGATATTTCAACTATATTAAACTATTTCATTTGCCATAGCATTATTTAAGTATATTCAGCTGTTCCTTTTTTCTCGAGCAATTCAAACTAGAATAGTTAGCCCAATATAGCTCACACTAGAGCACAGTAATTGTTGTTTCTTCTTAATATATTGTGTATAATATGTACAGGGAATTTTTTTTCCAGATTTGCCTTACAATTCTGATGTTAATAGTTCCAAAAAATATGTCAAACTGATAACACCTTAATTTTCAGATTGCTGCTTCTTTTGAGGGTCAAAGCTGTATCTCTTTGTGTCTGATTTTATAACTTAAAATATTATTTGCCCACATAAATTTGCATATTTACGTTTATTCCCTTAAATCATTTAGACTGCATTCAATTAACAGATCATTAAACCAAAAATAATTATAAACTTTTCTGTTTTTTTATATTGGACAGCATGCACAGTTAGAATTTTATTATTAATATTTACCATCCCATGTAAAGCAGACTGAAATTTCTTAAGAATGTTGAACGAGTAATGCATGTAAAGTAAAGTTTGAAAATGAGTAAAATGTTTACCATCTCATGTAAACCAGAATATAAACTGTAATAATGAACATGAGAATTTAAACAAACAGATATTTCTGAATTTACTTTGTCAATTAAAAGCAAGTGACTTGCTCCCATGAATTATTTGAAAATACTTTAACACTCCATCGGGCGCGTTGATCTGACAGATACAGACGTGTCAATATCTCTGCTTTTGTCCCCTGAAACATTTTCTTACGACCTTGACCTTATCAGTATCTGTCCATCTGGCCCCCTGCTACTTTGGAATGCAGTAGTGACCAGTTCGGTGTAGGAGTATTTCCTATTTCCAAGCTTGTTTGGAATTTTGTATCTGTTAGATACACGCGCCCGATAACGTTTGTCTCGTGAAGCTACATGGAAGTATCGAGATTCCCTGAGCGTTTTTGATTTATCTTTTTCCTACGATGAGTGCTAAACGCTTTTTAGATTTGAAAAATCAGAAAGACCTAGAGCTAGTTCATAGTATTCTATTTAGTGATGGAAATGAGGAATTAAATGCTGAAGAATTTGATGAAAGTGATGCTGACGAAGAAGATATTTTAGAAACACGTGAAGCTGATTGTCATGGCAGTGAAAGTGTTTATAATGACTCAGAACTCGATGATGATGTTAATAATGATTATTTTTATGTAGGAAAGGACAATAATACTTAAATGGGCAAAACAGATCGGAAGAAAAAATTTGACTTAAATTTAGAATCGGATTCAATTATAATAATTGATTTGTCACTTTTATATTATGTATTATTTGTGCATAACTGTCCTTTTTATACTTTTTCAACAGTTTAACATGTTTAATTAAATGTTTTTTACAGCATTTAACTTTTGTAATAGCGTTTGTGATTAATAAATAAAAATTATTATTGAAAATATTAAAAAATATATAAAAATTAAATAAAAATTAAAAATATACATAAAAAACTAATAAAAGGTCCGGGTGTAAAAGCCTGGACCTAAAAAGAGTAAAAATAGGAGATTTAAAGTAATACATATTAACAGAAAACACACAAAACAGAGATGTATCTGACAGATGCATCGCGCCCGATGCCGTAAGTTTCGAGACGCGCCCGACGGAGTGTTAAGGTATTATTTTATTTAAATGAAAATATCTTATACATATTTTTAAAATATATGGCAGCGTAAAAATATTTAAAAAATGCTTGCCCCTATTTTTTTTCTTCAATAAATTAAACATTTTGCTTTGTTAAAATGTTTAATATTTTTGATTTGTATTTGTTTATTAAGCAAATCCTAGAATTACATTTGTCTTAAAAATTTCCCGACTGAGAATTAAATGAATCTTTTTGTAATTTTAATGGTTTGTCTGAGTGAATCAAAAAAATATTAACAGGAATCAACAAGGCCCGTGGCAGAATGGTGGCGACATTATCATCGAATATTACGAAATTCTTGCAGAAGGATTTTTTATTTGGGAAGCAAAAAAGTTTTTTATCTGCAGAATTTTTCAAAATATTTTTTTTTTTGCAAGACTTCTTTCCCTTTTCTGCTGAATTTTCTGCCTTTCTCGCATCTCAGAGGCGGAAAAAATGCCCATGTTTTTTTTTTCTACATTCTTTTTTAGAACAGGAGAATATCGCCATTAATATTAGAATATGTATTCTTTTATATGTAGCTTAAAAAATAATTCTCACATTTATAATTTTACAAAAATTATGTACTGTTCTATTCTATACATAAAAGCTTTTCTTTTTTTTGTGAACTTCTGTTCACAAAAAAATTCCTTAGCTTATGGTGCTTTTAGTAGCCAGTGCTTTTGGTACTTCAAATTAGTAACATTTAAATCATAAAAAGCTTCAATTAATCTTTTTATGTTATTCCTTCACTGTAAATTCTTTTCCTAATTTATTATTCAAAACGAAGTGCTTTCTCACACTTTTAAATTCGCATCCTGTCCTTTAATCTATTTTTGGTTCAAATATGCATTCATTCCGGTGGCTGAGCGGCGGCGCTTTGCGCTGTCGTGCCACAGGTCCTGGGTTCGATCCTCGGTTCGGGCAAGGTTGACTCAGCCTGTCACCCCTTCAGTGGGTCGATAAATGAGTACCAAACATGCTTGGGAACTAAACACTGGGGGTTCCGCTTTCGACTGACCACCTGACCGGAACATCTGCTCCTGCACCCCAGATCCCAAGGTCAAGAAAACTGAGATGGGCCCATTAGGCCTTGGCCCTCTATGGGCTGTCGCGCCACTGAGTTAAGTTTAGTTTATGCATTCATTAAAAGTAAGACATTTTGCTCTTTGTGGGAATCGTGCGATCTATTTGATAATGAACCATTTTACAGATTTTTCCCTAACTTTTATTGAGGAACTCAATGATTTCGTGTGCACTTTCATAAACGTTCTCTGTCTAATAATTAATAAAAAAAAATTTTTACCCTCCTTCCCTGCCTAAGAGCTGTTTTTATCCTTCCACTCGGCAACGCGGTTATATGCAGGGTGTTTCATATTGAATGGGACAAAAAGAAAACATGATTGTAAACGCTACAATTAATATATTTAGAAAATTCAAATTTTCCTCAAAACTACATTTATTCAAGATTCTACAGGTGTTCATTATGTGCCCCTCCGGTGACACGACAAATGTCTACACCGTAATCAAGTTCCTGCCATACTTGTGATAGCATATCCCCTGTGATGGAGTCCAACACTGTAGTTATCCGCTGCTTCAGTTCCTCTAAGTCCTGAGGAAGTGGAGGCACAAACACCTTGTCTTTAACGAAACCCCGGAGAAAAAATCAAAGGGCGTTAGATCTGGTGATCTCGGCAGCCAATTAAGACACGTCAAATCCTGTGGCCCAGCACAGCCAATTCATCGATGGGGTAGACGTTCATTGGAGATGCTTCCATAAAACACGTGACACCGTTATGTGAGGGACAGCCAGTTCTGCATCTGCACGTCGCGTTTATTTTGAGGGACTCAGTAAAAACGAATCACAAATTTTTTCAACCACTTCGGTTTTGTTTCTTTTCGTCCTGGGCTTTTATTCTTGCATAAGCAGCCGGTATCCTGGAACTACTTCACCCACCTGCTCATGTTATGCCGATGCGGTGGTTCGTTGCGAAATTTCGTGCGAAAATGTCTTTGCACAACAGTTACCGAAGAGGTTTTGGCGTATTCCAAAACGCAGTACGGTTTCTCCTGCATGGACGACATTTTGTTTAACAGCGCCTCTAGCGGCGAGTTCGTCATTCGATGATTTTTCCCTGTTGCCAAATAAAACTTGTATAATTGTAGTTGCAGAATAAATTTGTTTCTGCTGAATAAATCCATTACTAGCGGCGGGTTCGTCAATCGATGATTTTTCCATGTTGCCAAATAAAACTTTTATAATTGTAGTTGCAGAATAAATTTATTTCTGCTGAATAAATCCATTACTAGCGGCGAGTTCGTCAATCGATGATTTTTCCATGTTGCCAAATAAAACTTGTATAATTGAAGTTGCAGAATAAATTTTTTTCTGCTGAATAAATCTATTACGGCAGTCACGCTGAGCTATTCTTTTTGTCCCATTCACTATGAAACACCCTGTATATTTGCTACTATTCTAAAAGACTAAACTAGTAACAATATAAAATTACTTAAAAATGATTTAAATTTTGTTTTTTTTTTTAAATATTGTAAAAATAATAACATAAAATTGTGTTAATATTATTTTTACAATATTAAAAAAAAATTTTAATCATTTTTAAGTAATTTTATATTGTTACTAATTTATATAATTTGAATTTGGTTTTAGCTGCCTTGTGCGCTGTTCCAATTTGAATTAGTGTAGCAATGGTTATTTATTTTTCCTACCTCCTGTTTAATATTTTTAACTTAAGAATTTGAATTTATATTTGGATATTCTAAATGTCTCTCAGAAAGGTATTAGTTTTAGAGAGAATTGTCGCAGAATGTTCAAAAACATTCTGCCACAGTGTTTAACAAATGTATTTTGTTGGAAGTAAAGGTAGAAGGATTTATTCAATTGTCACTTAAAGTGAATAAAGTGCTAATGTTAAACCATTTATTTTCAGTTTCAACAGACTAGACCTCCCGCCCTATGACAGCTACCAAGAATTACGTGACAGACTCATAAAAGCAATCGAAGGATCCGAAACATTTGGTGGTGTCGATTAAAGACTGTAAATATATTTCTTTTCTCCAAAAGTGTGCCTACATTAAGCTCAACACTGGCTCTGTGTGTAAAAAATATTGGATTCCCAATCCATTTTTATTTAAGCTGCAATATATTACAAATTTAGCAAATTTTTTCTTTTATTTATTTTCCTCCACTTTGATTCCATATGTAGTGTGTGTGCATGTTTTGTGCTTTAAATTCAAATTTTTTTTGTTACTCAAACACTGAATAAAAGTTTCACCTTTACAGGGCTGATTGCGCTCCGGAAAAACTCCGGATTTTTCGCTAACAGTAATCCGGAAGTTTCCGGAGATCGAAGTTCCTCACGTTTCAAAAAATCATTGATCATAGAAGTTTCCGGTAATCGAATTTTCAAAGGTGGAACTTAAAAACACAGTTTTTTTTTATTTGTTCGTAAGGGAGAGCCAGATACAGGGAATTTTGTTTCTTATTTTTGTCTTATAAAAAATGGTGACCACTCAAAGCAAACCCAATCTATGGAATATATAAGGATGATATTTCAGCTATTCTAAACTATTTCATTTACTATACCATAGGGGTGAACAACCTTTTTGATTGAAGGGCAGGTAGATTAACGAAGGACCGCAAGCATATTTAGTCATGTTAGCGAAAAAACTTTTTCAATTTTTCACAACAATTAATTTATCAAATATATATTGATATACATAAATATTAGGGGGGGGATATAAATTCTAACTAAAAAGAAGCATACAGAATGAAAGTGCAAAAAATATAGACATTTTAGAGTAATATAAATTTGAATTTATTATTTTAATTTAAGAAAATTTATATTGTTTAAACAAAAAACAAACTAAAAGAATGTTTTTGTTTGCGTTCAGAAGTTCCCTCGGGCCACACATCAACAGTCGATGGGCCGCAGGTTGTGCACCCCTACTATAACATTATTTAAGTATGTTCCTTTTTTACTCTATGAGTTTCCAGCAATTAAAACTAGTATAGATAGCCCAATATAGCTCATACAAGTAATTCGCTCTTCTTAGTACGTACAGGGAAAACGCTGGGAATTTTTTTTCCAGATTTGAGTGGCAACCTTGCATCAATACTCCTAAATTAGATAAAATACAAAAAACTGAAACATCACAACCTGAAACAATCTTTTTAATTTATTTCTTAAAATTAGTAAAGAGAAGAAACATGTTTTTTTTTCTTTTTGTAAATTATCATTTTAAAATGGCTTTGTTTTGCATCAAGGTATTTATTGTATTACTTTTTAAAGGAAAATTTTCTGTTCTTTTTTTTTAATTTCTGTCTACAACCAGAAAGAACTTACGTGACTCAAACTGAAATTGAAGAAACGAAATAAATTGTTTTAGCTGTTTTAAATTCAAGCATATTTCTATAAATTATTCTACAATTGTCTATGGATAAAGCAATATAGATTTTAAAATCTTGCTAATAAGATTATTTACGAGAGAAGAAAAAAGGAAATTCATCTTTATCACATAATTTCATGCATATTAGGGTGAGGCAAGTCTTTTACTTGAACATAACTGAAAAAATTATCTTTGGTGAGATTAAAAAAATTAACAAATATTAGTTAAATATCTGAAGAAGAGGCTGCTATTTCAAATTTTATTTTTGCATTTTACAAAAATAATACTTTTAACTAAGTTTATCGAAGCCTTTTACTGACTTATAAGAGATATTTATGTATTAGGGGTATTTTTTTTAAGTGGGGTTATGTATGTTACTAATTGGAGAAATGTTTTTTTTTTTTTCCAAAAATGAAATAGGATTTTTTTTATTGCATGCAGTCAAATTTCTGATAGCCTTAACGTGCCATGAACTTTTCAGACTATACGGTGCATTATTTGTGCGCTTTTAATAGCATCTCTTATGAGCCAATTACAAGCAATATAATGAACACATAAATGTCAAATTTATGTACCAATAATAGTCAAATTTTGCACATTAATTAAAGGCTTTTTTTGTAGCTACTCTTATCAGCCAATTAAAAGCAATATAATGAACTAATAATTGTGAAATTTTGTGCATCAACTAAAGGCAACTTTTTGTAGCGACTCTTATCAGCCAATTACAAGCAATATAATGAACACATAATTGTGAAATTTTGTGCATGAACTAAAGGCAACTTTTTGTAGCAACTCTTATCTGCCAATTACAAGCAATATAATGAACACATAATTGTCAAATTTATGTACCAATAATTGACAAATTTTGGGCATTAACTAAAGGCAACTTTTTGTAGCAACTTAAATGTGTTAAACTTATACCACACATTAATGTGCAAGCTTACGTGATAAATGTTTTTTCAAATATTGATGCTTAATTTGTGAATATAAAGTACAAAACATGTTGTCTTTATAGTTTAATTTTGTCCTGTATTTTTCAAATGTTGAATGTTAGTGTGCAGTTCCTAATATGTTCTGTTTTCTGTTCCACCCTTTTATGCTCAAAAATTATTTTATTTTTTTTAAAGAAAAAAGGAAGACACATATAGTTTAGTTATCAAAACTACAATTCTTTTTCAGTAATGTGATCTAGTTGGCTTCTTTATGTGTGTTTCATTTCTGAGCACTCTTATTCTTTTAACTGCAACTGTAGTAGCTGCATCCATGTAATTTTTTGTGTGATTGTTCTGGGTTTAATTATGTTGGTTTTGTATATATAGAATTTGTAAATTAAAAATAAGTAGTGAATTATGTACAGGGTTATAGTAGTGTATGATACTTCGTGTGTTTTATTTGTGCTGCATATTGATCCCCCCCCCCCGCCTCCCCAAATGTGATGAAATCGATGAAAGAAAAACTAAAAGTATCGTTTGCTGTGTTCAGAATGAATTCATTCTAACCATTCAATATTCAGGGTATCTGAACACCTGGAAAGTCATGAATTTCAATATTGAACAAAATTTGTCATGATTTTAACTATTTTTTTTTTTAAATCCTGTGAAAGTATTTGATTATGGTTGCCGAAAAATCTAATTTTTAAAATGGAATTTCACAGTGTTCTGAATATCTGAATTTGTAACAAAATCCACACTCAGTCTTATTTTATTGAAATCTAACATTTTTTTTTATCCTGCTCTTTAAAAAATTATGGTTTTCTTTCAAAAAATGAAAGAAAAAACATCATTTATATAGCGGATCATCTTTAAAACTTTAACAATTTAAAATTCTAGCTGAGGCCATTGGGGCAAGTCTTCCGTCCCCGGGACGGATTTCCGTCTTTCGAAAATGTCCGCGGATGGAAACAAGACTGACTCCAAGACGGAAATCGGAATTTTTTTTTCTGTCCTTAAAAATATTTTTTAGGTCTACGTTATTGGTCTACTTTCTTATGTCCTGTTGTTATTTTATCAAAAGACAGATGAATAAATATTTTTTGTACAGTATTTAAACTTGATGTATTATGGTAAAGCTTTCTTAGATAGTTTGCATATGTCGAGGGGGTATTTCGTCAAAAAATTTTCAGTCTTGACCTTTTTTCCAACTTGCACCCATGGCTGAAGCAAGCCAGTCATTGGCGAATTTGTTTTATTCCGAAATGAGAACAGAAAATTCCGGAGTGTTTCTTTCTTTCCCGATGAACAAGAAAAGTATCTTTAGTATATAATTCTGCAGAAAAAAGGGGGAAAAAAATTATTTGCTTTTGTATTTTTTTCAGCTGTTTTATTGCTTCAATTCTTTCTTAAATCTGTTTTTTAAATTTAAAATCAATAAATATGAAAATGCAGAGTATTGCAGTTTTGGTTATACTTATCATTTCAATTAATGTTATTATAATGCTTTTTTAAATTCATTGTTTTGTTTTTGTCGGAGAAAATAGTAAGACATGAAAAAAAAAATTTTAATTAGTCATGAATGTAACAGATACTCTTAACAAATCCAGTGCAGAACACAGCCAAACTGAACATTTTCTGTTTTTCTTTCTAATCATCAGTCATTTTTTTTGGATCATGGTATTTTATAGAGCTGAATTTATATTTATCTAGTGTCAGGATTTGTGCTAAACGAATGCCCTACACAATGAACGAGATCAAATTTTTCTATTTAGTCAAAAATTGAGTATCTGGATGATAGTAAATTACGAAAAACCTAAGAAAACTTCTTGGAAGTTAAATTAATCTACTTAAAAATTAGTACACAATACATATTGTTAGAGTATTACATTCAAATTTAAAAATTTTATTCTGTGAATGAATTTCTTTCTGTACAATAAAAAATTAGTACAAGCCCCGAGAATTTGAAATTTTATTCTTATGAATGAATTGCTTTCTGTCCAATTAACTATAGGCGCTATGAATTTGAAAATTTTATTCTGTGAATGAATTTGCTGTTTGTGCAAGAAAAGAAATAGTTCTGGCATTCTGAAGTTTAAAAATTTTATTCTGCAATTGAATTGCTGTTTGTGCAATCAAATTATTTATGTCTCTGCCAAAACTGCTAAAATGTAGAATATTTGTAAACAAATTTTCTAAAATATATTTATTTTTTTTAAATGTCTCTTTAGTTATTAAGAAAAAATGATTTACAATAAATATTTTTGTTTGTATCTATTATGTGTCATTATTTCATAGTCCTTCATTAATAGATATTCATCTAAATTTTTGGAATTGCGATATTACTGGTCCACCCAACTGTGTATATGTTATCGTTTCATAGTTCATCATTTATAGATATTCATCTAAATTTTTGGAATCGCGATATTACTGGTGCACCCAACTGGGAATATGTTATCGTTTCATAGTCCATCATTTATAGATATTCATCTAAATTTTTGGAATCGCGATATTACTAGTCTACCTAACTGTGTATACAGGGTGTGTTCTGAAAGTAATGCGCATTTTCTGGGAAAAATATATTTATTGATCCTATGGGTACAAATAGTTAAAATTCTTCAAAATAGTTCCCTTGTGCATCAATATACTTGCGGAGATGATTCTGCCATGTCTGGAAGGCACCCTGGAACTCCTCGACAGGAATGCCTCTCAAGAACCTTGTAACATGAGCTTGGATGTTCTCCACCGACTCCCAGTGATTTCCCTTCAGCTCTCTTTTCTGTCGGGGGAGCAAAAAAAAGTCACTTGGCGCCAACTCAGGGCTATAGGGAGGCTGGGGCACCAACTCATCAATTCTTCACTGCGCAAAACTGGAACTTCTTTTTGCTCCTCCGTCGACACCTTCGGCACAAGCTTCGCACAGACCTTTCGCATTTGCAAATCCTCCATCAAAATCCCATGTACCACATATTTTGACAAGTTTAGGGTGTCAGCGATTACCTGAATGCTTAACCGACTGTCTGACTTCAAAACTTCACGCACCTGCT